GGGATTCACTTATCGAAGTGTGAATACGAGAGTACACGGTTCGCTTCCCGTTGCCACAGATTTGTGCTTATCACTCTGTGGGTGTTATTAGACAGTCAAACCCCATTATTATTTATAGTGGGCCAAGAGTCAGCGTTCCTCTGTTCTATCAGTTCAAAATCAGAGACAGCTATGAGCAGACTAATAGTCCTTTACAGACTGAATTTTTAATTGTTGGTGTTATTTTTCGAAGTAAATTAACAGATATGGCTTGTTTTGTTTTTTCAAACGTATAAATATTAGGCGTAAAATATTAAGACAGTAATTTTAACAGAAGAGAAAAATCCAACACTTTACCACAAAAATGAAAGAACTACATACAATACATGATATTAGATAAATATATTTATGCACAATAAACTGAAAAACAATCCTTATGAAACCGAATTCGAAAAAAACTTTTTTCCATTTTCAAATCATTAAATTGTTTGTTCTTTATTTAAACAATATGCACTTTACTGCTAATAAAAATACAACTACTCAGCTTAGAAACTTTATTATTATTACTATCTTATCGTTGGGATATAGATCATTTATCCAAACATCTCTTGTTTAAATACCAGAAAATTTTAATCCTCAGTTCCGTATTATAAACGGAAAAGTTTTGATGCTGCAAGTTGCGCTGTAAAATCGCATAAAGCTTTCAAGTCTACGAATTATGTTCATTGGCGCAAAAATAAGAATGAAAAAGAAAAGAAGGTAAAGTGAAAACCGTCACAGTGATTATATGAGGTAAAAATTGTTCATCAGAACCACATCATTCATCATTATATTTTTTTCATCGTTTTGATATAGATATATATATCTGTGTGTGTGTGTGTGAAAAATGAACACAAATTCCATTAGAGTAAAATTAATACATAATATTTCATGTTATCTTACTTCAGTTTACACAATTAATTGAATTTTAAAAGAAAGGTTAAGGAAACTTCTTCAACTTTCTAAGCGCTTCTTTCACTATCCTGATAATTGTTTCACGTACAACAAACACAGAGACATCATTACTTAACAAACTACAGAGTAATTATAAATTTACTCCATATTTAAATTGATTATATCTTTAAAACGACTTGCTATAGCGAAACTAAATTTCACCAAAAAACACGTTGAGAATCGTAACTTTTATTTTGTAAAATTTGAATATGGTGTGGTATCTTTCAAATGCTATCATAGAAACTAGCCAGTCATTCTCAAAAAGCACGTCAAGCATATCTCTAACTAGAGCTGTTGCAAACAACATTTGTTCTAAACAATGGTCATCGATCCTCGTTATATTCTATACATTGCCACTTATTTCATTCAAACTGCCAATCTCGTATTGTCGAGAGAGAGAGAGAGAGAGAGAAAGAAGAGAAATAAAAGTAATACTACTTTATGAGAAAAGCTATTTAGTATATTACGATTTTGAAACACTCTGTACTATGTCCAAACTTTCCAAATTAAACTTATGATTCTCGGTGATCCTTTGGTGATGTTGCTTTCCCTCTAGAACAATTAGTTTTTAAGAGATAGGTATTTCATATATTGGTTTTATCTATGATTACCCTGTATAATGCGGCATACGTTGCCATTATTAATACGTCAGCATAAAGTGGATTTACTAATTAAATGCTTTTATACGAACATAACAATGTATCTTGGTCAGTGTCGATAAACACTTGGAGTTATTGTGATGATGGTTTGATGGTTCAGTGCAGAGCTTCACAATGGAATATCCATGCTCTGCCAACCACGGGTTTAGAAACCCGAGTTTCAGCGTTGTAAGCCTACAAACTTGCCGCTAAGTCACCTGGGAGGATGGGGTGGGGGAAACTACTGAAACAAATAAATCAATATTTAAAAAATTTCCAAAACGATTCTCAGTACACGAAGAAGAAAGCGTTCATGTTATCGAATTTATTTTGTGTGTGGGATCACGACTTAGCTGATTTTCCAAATATTTCAATATTGCAGTACTTATTTGCCATACCATGACCTTAGATGGCCTAGCTTTTATCAACATCGATGTTGCTTTAACTGCACAGTGTGACTTATCTTTCAATTACTAGGCCATGAATTAAAGTTGTATTGGCTCCCCAGTGGTATAGCGGTATGTCTACGGTCTTACAACGCTAGAATCCGGGTTTCGATACCCGTGGTGAGCAGAGCACAGATAGCCCATTGTGTAGCGTTGTGCTTAATTACAAATAAACAAAGAATTTGCTCTAACTTGAAGCACCTTAAGATGTCTGTCATCCTAGGTTTAAGTGTAAACAAAACAAATACATGTTGTGGCGGTAGATAATTGTCTTACGCTAACCTGACGCTATTTTCCAAGATTCCTGATGGTAGACAGTTATTTTACACTAAACTTTAGTTACTTTGGACACTCTGTAATTGTAGAAATTCGTTGTGCACTGAACTGTTTCTACTTTGAAAACTCTGTAATAGTAGACAAGCCGTCTCTACCAAACTGTCACTACTTTGGAAACTCTATGATAGTAGACAATCCGTCTCTACTAAACTGCCGCTACTTTGGAAACTCTATGGTAGTAGACAATCCGTCTCTACCAAACTGTCACTACTTTGGAAACTCTATGATAGTAGACAATCCGTCTCTACTAAACTGCCATTACTTTGGAAACACTATAGTAGTAGACAAGCCGTCTCTACTAAACTGCCACTATTTTGGAAACTCTATGTTAGTAGACAATCCGTCTCTACTAAATCACCACTACTTTGGAAACTCTATGGTAGTAGACAAGCCGTCTCTACCAAACTGTCACTACTTTGGAAACTCTATGGTAGTAGACAATCCGTCTCTACTAAACTGCCGCTACTTTGGAAACTCTGTGATAGTAGACAATCCGTCTCTACTAAACTGCCGCTACTTTAGAAACTCTATGGTAGTAGACAATTCTTTTCTACTAAACTGCCGCTACTTTGGAAATATTTGTTGATGGGAAGCAGTAATCTATATTAAATATTCTATGTTAAGATACATTTGCCTAAAATTCTATATTCGCTAAACCAGAAGATTCCGTGATAGATAAAAGTCACTTTGGATTAATATTGTTGGGAATAATAATCGACTAAAGTAGAAACATTCACTAAGAAACAACGGATGTTAAATGTTTGGAAATATAACTCATATTCTGTAATGAAATGCAGCCATCCTATACTAACTGTAAAGAAGTAATATAGTAAACAGATCAATCAATGTTATATTCTTTAATTTAATTGTTGTTGTTTTTTGTAGAGACTCGTCCTTTCTACCATTTTTGTTTTTGAGATTTCATACTTTGTGTTTATTGTTGGCAATCTACCTACAGAAAGTATGATTAAAAATTGTCTAATATTAAGTACCACAAACTGGCAACATTCAGTATTATAAAATATTTGACTTGTCTTCAATTATCGTTATATTAGGAAATTCTAAATAGCGTATATTTGCCACCCACTAAAGTTTCGTCAAGTTGGAAAAATTGTGATTGCAAATAATGGTTTATACTACATCTGTTGCCGTCAAACAATATTATAATCATTCAGTGAAATAATAACCTTTACTCAAACGTTGCTTATTGAGAATCGATTTGATAGCATGTGTTCGTTGATGTCAATAATAGTTAGAGTTAAAATATTCTGTAATCGTAAATAAAGTCTGTGTGACAAACTAACGGTAAGATAAAAACAGCCTTGAAAGTACACAGTTATTCTGTTTTAAAGTGTGGGAAAATTCGAATTACTTAAAACAGCCATCCTATACACACACACACAAAATAAGTGATAAGAAGAAAAAAAGTGATAGTAGTCTGTCGTCTTCTTCTAAAGCGTCACTATGTTAGAAAACTCTCTGTGGTTAATCATTTGTCTCTCAGAAACCCTGGAAACATTTCATGATATAATACAGTTTGTTTCAATTAAAGCATAATCAGAAATACTGGAAACATTTCATGATATAATACAGTTTGTTTCAATTAAAGCACAATCAGAAATACTAGAAACATTTCATGATATAATACAGTTTGTTTCAATTAAAGCATAATCAGAAATACTGGAAACATTTCATGATATAATACAGTTTGTTTCAATTAAAGCACAATCAGAAATACTAGAAACATTTCATGATATAATACATTTTGATTCTATTAAAGCACAGTCAGAAATACTGGAAACATTTCTTGAAAGATTCAAATTGGCTGTAATAAAACACCCAACAAATACTAGAAATATTTCATGATATAATACAGTTTGTTTTTATTAAAACACAGCCAGAAATACTGGAAACATTTCATGAAAGATACAATTCGTCTATTATCGTTACATTAGGAAATGTTAAATAGCGTGTATTTGTCACCCACTACAGGTTCGTCAAATTGAAAATATAAAAGCTCCGCAAAAAATACTGGAAAAATTTCACGACACTATACAGTTTGCTTCTAATGAAGTTCTTCTAGAAATACGGAAAATATTTCATGATACTTATACATTTTGTCTCTATTAAAGCGCCGTGATATCGAAAACGTTCTGTTTTATAACACTGTAGTCCTACACTAATGTTTTAACTCTCTGACAGAATTTGACAACATAATACAGTTTCCCATAATAAAGTGTAGATTAATATTTGGAAGAATCGACAAAAAATCAAAAGTTATAACCAAATGTATTTTTATCCACATTCGAAATAGAACTGAAGGTAGACAGACAGTTAAAGGTTGATACTGGGAGGAAAATTAGTCTGTATAACAATAATAAAGATCGCTGGAAACTGATACATTAGCAATAGTTGAAAATTTAAAGAAGCCTTGATCAGAAATAGTACACTGAAGGTTGGGAGACGATGTAACAAATACATAATTTGATAATCCCTGAAAGTAACAGACAGATTAATATTGTAGTCAGGTAGAAAATAGCTATAATTCCATATACAGACGTTAAAGAAACAAACAGGGAAATACGAAACTTGAATAAAAATAGATTACCAGGCATTTGTATGGTATGTCGGTAGTAATCCTCCACTGTAGGTTTATAGGTGGATGAGAAGAAGCCCTCAAGGTACTGGACGACCAATGATGTCTTTCCCACTCCTCCGGCACCAAGGACCACAAGCTTATTTTCTCGCATGATTTAGTACACGAGGTTTGTCTGTCCATCAGATAATATCCACTCTTCGTAACTCAGGTAGCAACTGAATGCGTAATATATTTTAATATACTTGGTTATATTTACTTTGAAATATTATTTTCCTGAAATGCTTTAGCAATATTTCAAAGTTGACTTGACACACTTTTTGAAACCACTATATTTTTGCAGTATTAAGACTTTTTTTTCCTAAGGCTAGTTTCTTAAGTTTAAAAAAATATTCGATTGAGACGGACAGAACCTTTACATTTTCTTAAACTTTTGAAAATAATCGAGTAACATAAATATGTATTACTGACACTTCCCTTCTTGACTAAACTCCACGAAGCCCTATGTCAACTGATTGAACTGTCATTGAGGTGAAGGATAACAGTCTTCCACTCCGACGCTAGAGGGCGTTACTTTTGTTGCAATAACGTATTTTTTTTTTTATTATTAAGCAAAACTAAGAAGATAGAAACCGCAATAAGAATTTCTCTATTTGTATTTTTCAATAAAGTTTCTTTGGAAGTACAAAGTAGGCAATATTCGATTCAAAAGTACTATGTTTTATAAGACGTTAAAAAACCACTGATTCTACTCACTGTTCTCTCGAAAATGAAATCTCAGCTATAAAATTGAAAGCTGATGATTTCATCCACCTGCTTCTGCATGCTGTTCAGTCGGAGTTTCTACAATATTAAAGTAACGTTACTTTTAGTACTTCCCTCTCTCCTATAACCTCGAAGTAGAAACTAGCGGTTCAGACAAGGCCGCGCACCAATAATCACCATTCCCTGTTTCTATAGCAACACACAAACCATACTACACTAAGCCCTCTTGTAAGGATTCACACCTATAGAAAGCACGTCATCCTTTCTACCACGCTAGAAATTACCTGGTGCTTGCTTATCTAAAGAATACAGCATTTAGAATAAAATACCTTTGAAATCTTTCACTCAGAAGTAAACAAAACAAATTTAATAGTCTTCATATTTTGAGTAAGCATATATTTCTGGCCCTATAAACCAGACATCTGAAGCCTATATAACCTCATTATAGATAGTTTTCAAAACTCGACAATGAATTTATTCACTTAAATGTGAAGCCTAATCCATCATTCTATTTACCAACAAAAAAAACACAATACATATATCAATGAATTTCTTTTAACAAGCTATAACAGCAGTAAGGTAATTAACTTTAGAAAATTAAACTTACTTTCACTGCACAAGAGGATAGAACAGTACGTGTCGTTACCGTGAAATAAACAATAAAAGTCTAAATAATCGCCACGAGACGTATGAATATATCATGATAACAAAACTTATACAATTATTATTATTAAGTCTAAAGCTTTGTTTGTTTGTAATTAAGCACAAAGCAACAGAACGGGCTATCTGTGATCTGCTCACCACAGGTATCGAAACCCGGATTCTAGCATTGTAAGTCCGCAGACATACCGCTGTGCCATGGGGGGTAGCTAAAGTAATTCATTCAATTAAGATAATGGCCTTTAACATTTTCGTAATATATTTGCTCACAAAACTTTTTTTTAATTAAAAGAGCATTCAAACAAATAATGATAAAACAAAGCATCAATGTGTCTCGATACGAATATTGTCAATATTAAAAGTAGTTTATGAACACTAAAGTTAAATATATTACAAAAACTATGACTTTATTGGATCATAAAAATCCGCTTTCTATTTGTTAGTTACTAACAATGTATAATATATGACAATCTTTGTTTTATGCTTTATTTTATTCTGTTGCCATCTGTTGTACTATGTTTTGCATGGTTTATTTTTTTGTTGTTAAGCGCAAAATAAGCTATCTGTGCGGTTCCCACTACAGGTATCGAAACCCAGTTTTTAGTCTTATAAGCCTTCAGACTTACCGCTGAGTCACTGTGAGACATTTCGTAATGCATTATCTGTACATTACTGTTTCTTTTTATATCGTGCTACCTTAGTCTGATAACTCTTCATTTCATGCTCTGTCCCGATACTGTTCTCTGTAGAACCTTTTCGTTCCATGTTCTGTTCTGATAATGCTTTTCTTATAAACTTTTCGTTTCGTGCTCCGTTATGATAATATTTTTCATAGAAACATTTCATGCTTTTTTCCGACACTATTATTAATACTTCTTTGTTTCATGATCTGTTCTGATATTACAATGTAAAATAAACATGTGTTCTCTGGTGCACCAGTATTGGCTGAAGCACAATAAAAGTCTGACTTCATAACACAACAATGTGTTGGAATAAACACAAGTTTGAATTGAAAACCGCACTTCATTTATGTTTTGGGGAAACACACCAAACGTGTATGTTTATATCACTACAACAATTATCTGATAGTTAATAGAAATATATATTTAGGAAACACGATTTACGTTGTTTTGAAATATCACAATTTCTCTGCTGATTTAAAACTTTTTTTGCAGTCTATGCTCTGATAACTTTTAATTTGGTGCTCTTTTCCTATAATGTTGAGTGATCAGATTTTGCTTGATTTTCTGTTGCGATACTATTGTGTGTCAGCTTTTAATCGTATGTTTTGGTCTTTTAGTATATTTTAGTCTGGTATATATTTGTTTCTTATTTTGTTATTTTAGTATAATCTGGTGTGTGCTTTGTCTCTTTACTTTTATCTGATATGTATTTCGTAATTTGTTTCTTTAATATCGACGGGTATATACGTGTCTGGTACTGTGTTCCTTTGGCCGGGAGTGATCAAATGGCTAGCGTGCTCGGACTACGAACCTAAGGGTTTATATTCGATGTCTGTTGTCATAAAAACGCTATTCGCACGTTATCGACAAAGGAACACTATTAGAGTGACGGAAAAATCCCAATATTCGATCAGATAAGGGTTGTCCAAGAGTTGGCGGAGGGTGCTATTGGTTATGTGTCTTCCATCTAGTGTATTAGTTTAAAATGAGGGATAGTTATGTACAGCTAGCCATTTCAGTAAATTTCCATAAAAATTCTAAAACAAATAAACTTTGTTCCTTGAAAGTTACTTCTTAATTCACTTACTTATTGCACCGTTACTAGCATAAATACGCCAATTAAAACAATTGAAGAATTACCTGAATTTGTAATATTATAATTACGGCAAAGGAAAAAACTATTATAAAATAATTTCAATCACACTTCAGATATTTTTTACATGATTTGAAGTGTCAAAAATCGTTCCCTCAGCTTAAGCTTATAATGAACATGGGTATAGCATTTTAGCATCTCTGCAGTTCATGACATTTCAGTTCAATAGCGAGTACGATCTCCATGAACAGTCTGTCACCGAAATTGCATGTTCAAAGTCAGAGTGTTGATAAGATTCTGAAATATTCGTGATCATTCATCTCAAATAGTTTTATTCAGGGCATCTTTAGAGTTTGCAGTCACGTGACTGGATGCAACGCGTCTCCTAGGAGCATCCCGTGCGTATTCAAGGAGTACGCAGACCAGTCAGTTTAATCAGTCTCTTATTTTTCAACGATTGTGTCAGTCGCAGGCCCAGCTTTCCCCTCAGGTGAAGGTGTGTATTTTAGAATCGGGGGGGGGGGGGAGATTCATACATAAACAAACAAAGTCGCTTATAATTCTATTTTTACTTCTACAACACGACCGAAAGTATCGTTAACAGTGAGGATACCCAAATGATGGAATGTACATTTCAATCAGTTTAATAAAAACCGTAAGAACAGTAAATTAAATTAGCTATAATCATCACTTGATTTCTTGTCTGTTATATAACATCTTCTTATCTTGTTTTTATTGCTCAAAATATTATGATCAAATACATAGTAGCTTATCACAGCATAATTAAGAAACATTTCTGTCTGCAAAAGTGACACAATTTGCCTCCATGACTTATAATAATTCAATCATCCTATACCTTAAGCAGCTGGAGAATGAAACAAATATTCGTCCTTTTCCGTAGGAAAACGTATCGCTCAAGTCACCGGATTTCTGTGCAATTGTACTGTTGAGATGGGTGCTGGAAAACTATCGTCCTTCTACGCTAGACAGAACATGGAAAGCACGCAGGGAGGAATGGTGTACTTTGACCATGACAATTTAACGCTGAAGCTTTCTGCTATGAAAACTACGATGCAAGTCTATGGCAAAGGTGCACGTTCGTCTGATACAGCATGACTAAGCATGACGTCATGGACTGTAACGACCTTGTGGGGCTCCAAAAACGTGTTAATCTAGCGTACTCAAAATCTATACGTATAGCTATTTAATCATAGATAGATTCAACCCCAGTCTTGTAGCGTCAATGATGCAAAATATTTCACGTTTACCTTTACTTCTGAGCCGTGTGGTGGTTAACATATTAAATAATATTTTATAACTTTTAAACTATTTAGTTATAGCAGCTTATTTTTCAACACACAAGCGCATTCGTTTGATATAATGGAAGTTTGGCAAATATTCATTTTGGAGCTCTTCAAATACTCATAGCTGAAGTTTATGTTTTCCATTCTGTAGCGATGCTTTACAGTAAAATAATTGTGGGTTTCATAATAAAAGTTAATATGTTAAAGAAATAATTAAAAGACATGTTTTATTATCAAATATTGCGTTTCACAGTCAAAGAAAAGCGAGTGTTTCGTAGTCCAAAGTGATGTTTCATAGAGAAGGTGTCTCCTACAATCTACAATGAAGCAAGTATGAGTTTGAAAATCGAATGTGATGTGATACAGAAAAAAAATTCTTAATCTAAAATTGGTGGTTTCATAGTGCTAAATTACGTATGCATAAATTAATTAGTTTTTATGCTGGTCTATACTAGTACAATGTCGACTGATGATGAAATGATGAGGGATATTGCAGAAAAACATTTGTGGATTATACCTATGTCACTTTTAAAAAAAATTTCAAGCCGATATATAATAGCTGGTTTGGCATAGCTTACTTACTTTTGTCACGACTGACGACCACACCTAAAAATGTTTTACATATACTGATGCCAGGACAGCTAATTTAGTATGCCGTAAAGTTTTTATTTCTGTAAAACTCTCGGAGATTGGTCAGTTATAAATAAAATATGATTCATTACATCCGAGGTTAATGTTGGATAAATTTGATCTTATGTTAATAATGAACTGCAATGTTTTAAATTTGTTTTTGGATATAACAAAATGTTAACACGTCGTCCAATAACCAAAAACCATACTCAAATGTGTATATTTCTGGTGGAACTATTATTTTGACTAAACAAATATAACTGAACGATATTAACAAATGTAA